CTAAATTGATCACATTTTAGGTCACAAGTCTAACATCAGCAAATCTAAAAGAATAGAAATTATTCCTTGCATCTTCTCAGACCATCATGGAATAAAATTTGAACTCAGTAACAACAGGAATCTGCAGACTCATACAAAAACATGGAAACTAAATAACCTTCTGCTGAATGATAGCTGCGTCACTGACAAGATTTAGAAGGAAATTACCAAATTTTTGGAACAAAATGATAATGAAGACATGAATTATCAGAACCTCTGGGATACTGTAAAGGCAGTCCTAAGAGGGAAATTTATAGCACTGAAAGCCTTCCTCAAGAGAACGGAAAGAGAGGAAGTTAACAACTTAATGGAACATCTTAAGCAACTAGAAAAGGAAGAATATTCCAACCCTAAACCCAGGAAAAGAAAATAAATAACCAAAATTAGAGCAGAATTAAATGAAATTAAAAACAAACAGATTATACAACAGATCAATAAATCAAAATGGTGGTTTTTTTGAAAAGGTCAATAAAATAGATAAACCTTTGGCTAACCTAACCAGGAAAAAGGAGTAAAATCTCTAATTTCATCAATCAGAAACAGTAAAGACGAAATAACAACACCTCAGAAATTCAAAACATCCTTAATGACTATTACAAGAAACTCTATTCTCAGAAATACAAAAATCTAAAGGAAATAGACCAATACGTGAAAGCACACCACCTTCCTAGACTTAGCCAGAATGAAGTGGAAATGTTGAACAGGCCTATATCAAGTTCTGAAATAGCATCAACTATACAAAGTCTCCCGACAGAGAAAAGCCTGGGACCAGATGGCTTCACATCAGAATTCTACCAAACTTTTAAAGAAGAACTAGTACCTATATTACTCAACTTCTTCTAAAATATAGGAAAAGAAGGAATACTACCCACACCGCCTTGATCCCCAAACCAGGAAAAGACCCAACAAGAGAAGAAAATTAGAGACCAATATCACAAATCTATACTGATGCAAAAATATTCAACAAGATCCTAACAAACAGAATCCAGTAACACATCAAACAAATGTGTTATACACCATGAACAAGTGGTTTTATCCCAGAGTATCAAGGTTGGTTCAATATACATAAATCTATAAATATAATTCATCACATAAACAAATTAAAAAACAAAGACCACATGATTATCACAAGTGATGCAGAAAAAGCTTTTGATAATATCCAGCATCGCTTCATGATCAGAACACTTAAGAAAATGGGTATAGAAGGGACATTTCTTAAACTGATAGAGGCCATCTATAGAAAACTCACAACCAATATTGTCTTGAATGGAGCTAAATTGAAATCATTTCCACTCAGATCAGGAACCAGGCAAGGTTGCCCATTGTCTCCACTGCTTTTTAACATTGTATGGAAGTCTTAGCCATAGGAACTAGGCAAGAAAAGGTGATTAAGGGTATCCACATAGGTCAGAAGAGATCAAACCTTCACTCTTCACAGATGGTATGACTATATATCTGGAAAACACCAGGGATTCTAATACAAAACTCTTAGAAGTGATCAAAGAATACAGCACCATTTCAGGTTACAAAATCAACACTCATAAATCTGTAGCCTTTATATATACCAACAACAGGGATGCTGAAAAAAGTCAAGGACTCTATTCCGTTCACAGTAGTGCCAAAGAAGATGAAATATTTGGGAGTTTACCTAACAAAGGACATGAAAGATCTCTATAAAGAGAACTATGAAACTCTAAGAAATAGATGAAGATGTTAACAAATGGGAAAGCATACCAGGCTCATGGCTGGGAAGAATCAACATTGTTAAAATGTCCATACCACCCAAAGCAACACACTATTTTAATGCAATCCCTATTAAAGCTCCACTGTCATACTTTAAAGATCTGGGAAAAATAATACTTTGTTTTATATCAAATCAAAAAAAACCTTGAATAGCCAAGACATTACTCAGAAATAAAAACGAAACAGGAGTAATTATGCTACCAGACCTCAAACTATACTATAAATGGATAGCGATCAAAACAGCATGCTATTGGCACAAAAACAGAGAGGCAGATGTATGGAACAGAATAAAGAACCAAGAGATGAACCCAGCTACTTACCATTATTTGATCTTTGACAAGCCAATTAAAAACATTCAGTGGGGAAAAGATTCCCTATTTAACAAATGGTGCTGGGTGAACAGGCTGGCAACCTGTAGAAGACTGAAACTGGACCCACACCTTTCACTGTTAACTAAGATAGACTCTTACTAGATTAAAGACTTAAATTTCAGATATGAGACTATAAAAATACTAGAAGAAAGTGCAGGGAAAACTCTTGAAAAAATCACCCTGCATGAATATTTCATGAGGAGGACCCTTGGGCAATTGAAGAAACACCAACAATACACTACTGGGATCTGATCAAACTAAAAAGCTTCTGCACAGCCAAAAACACAGTAAGTAAAGCAAGCAGACAGCCCTCAGAATGGGAGAAGATATTTGTAGGTTATTTCTCTGACAAAGGTTTAATAACCAGTATCCACAGAGAACTCAAACGTATTAGCAAGAAAAGAACAAGTGATCCCATCTCAGGGTGGGCAAAGGACTTGAAGAGAAACTTCCCTGAAGGAGACAGGCATACGGCCTACAGACATATGAAAAAATGCTCATCATCCTTAATCATCAGAGAAATGCAAATCAAAACTACTTTGAGATATCATCTAACTCCAGTAAGATTAGCCCATATCACAAAATCCCAAAACTAGAGATGCTGGTGTGGATGTGGAGAAAAGGGAACACTCCAACACTGCTGGTGGGAATGCAAACTAAAAAGTTCCTTTTGGAAAGATGTTTGGAGACACTTAGGGATCTAAAAAATAGACCTGCCATTCGATCCTACAATTCCTCTACTATGTATATATCCAGAAGACCAAAAATCACATTACAATAAAGATATTTGTACCAGAATGTTTATTGCAGCCCAATTCATAATTGCTAAGTCATGGAAGAAGCCCAAGTGCCCAATGACCCACGAATGGATTAATAAATTGTGGTATATATACACCATGGGATATTATACAGCCTTAAAGAAAGATAGAGACTTTACCTCTTACATGTTTACATGTATGGAGCTGGAACATATTCTTCTTAGCAAAGGATTTCAAGAATGAAAGAAAAAGTATCCAATGTACTCAGCCCTATTATGAAACTAATTTATAGCTTTCATATGAAAGCTTTAACCTAATTATAGCCTAAGAATATGGGGAGCAGGAGGGGAGGAGGGGATGGGTGGAGGGAGGGTGACTGGAGGGATCACTTCTATGGTTTATCTTACAAGGGTACAAGTGAATCTTTCTAAGAGTAGAATATAAACGTCTTAACACAGTAACTAAGAAAATGACACAAAGGCTATGTTAATCAGTTTGATGAAAATATTTCAAATTGTATATAAAACTGGCACAAGGTACCCCATGATTACATTTATGTACACAGCTATGATTTAATAATAAAAAAAAATTTCACCATGAAAATCCTCGTTTTGTGGTCTTATTCCAAAGTTTATGAAGTATTAGGCTGGATGCAGTGGGTCACACCTATAATCCCAACACTTGGGAGGCCAAGACGGGTGAACTGCCTGAACTCACGAGTTCAAGACCAGCCTGAGCCAGAGCAAGACCCCGTCTCTAAAAAATAGCTGGGTGTTGTGGTGGGTGCCTATAGTTCTAGCTACTTGGGAGGCTGAGGCAAGAGAATAGCTTGAGCCCAACAGTTTGAGGGTGGTGTTGAGCTATGATGCCACAGCACTTTACTGAGGACGACAAAGATAGACTGTCTCAAAAAAAAATTTTTTTTTTTATCTTAGGATTTGCTATGACAGTAGACTTTAAGGGTTCTGAGTACCAAAAAAAGGTTAACTGTGAAGTGTTAGGTATGTTCACTAACTTAATTGTAGTATCATTTCATAGTGTGTATATATACATGTCAAGTCATTACTTGGTATATAATAATTATATAGTTACACAACTTTTATTTGTTAAGAAAGTCCATGTCACATACACATACATATACAGTAGGAACCTCCATGGTTGACCACATCCCCAAAGTGACAATCTGCTTAAGTTGAACTGATTTTCATTGACCAGACACGTATCACATGGGCATATCAGTATAGTAGGACTAGTTCCTTGTTGACTAACTTTGTATGTTGGCCAGTTTCTTACAGTCCCTTGGGTGATAATCTTACAGAGGCTCTGTTGTATATGTACACACACGCGCGCGCGACATAGTCCCAGTAAAATTCATTAAAAAATGAGAAAATTATAAAATGACAGTTATTAGAAAATAAAGTAAAAAGCAGAAGTTTAATATATACTCGGCCTTGTTCTAAGCTACCCAATGAAATAATTTATTCAAAAAATGTAGGGAGCAATTACTTTAATACCATATTAAAGTTGAGAAATTTGGGGATATAGAGTTTACTATTCATCACAGTTCACACTAAAAACAAAATTTAGAAGAAAAAACGTTAGATTTTATTGTATTTAGGAAGATACTAAGTCTTCTGAAAATATTACTGACTATGAATTTCTGTAGAATCACACTAAATACTTTCACAGGATAGGAAAGCAGAAAGCATAACATATGCTTGTGGTGTTCTGAGATTACTGAATTGAATACCATTAGCACCACCACATTTACATATTTCAGTATAATATAAAATGGAAAATTAACAAATGGTGTAAAATAGAGTCCTCCTGAGAAGCAGTGGAAGAGCAATCAGATCCTGCAGTCTCTTATTAGCCACAAAAAGGACACTGACTCTTACTGTACATGTAATGGTAGATCATTGAAAAGGAAGTCAAGTCCCTAGATAACTTAAGAACAGGAACAGAGATGCCCACATATGACACTAAGAGAAAGAAACCATTTCCATTGCAGCAGAGCTTCCCAAACCACATTTTCAGGTCTGGCTTCCTCCTTGACCTTTGGACCTCTCACCTGTGTCATCTGCTTCCTTCACTCCCACCTACCTGGTTGCTCTGCTACTGCTTCATGTCTCTTCACATTCCAGGGCTCTTTTCTTTGCTCCAAACAGGTGATCAGGTCTGGCTTAGAGACAGCAAGACCTGTTTTATTAGAAAAAAGTAACATGAGTCTTGCTAGGACTCTCCAGTTACCAACTTGGTGCTGGGCTCAGTAGAGGAAAAAAAATATTATAGAAGCTATCAGCAAATTAATCAAACAGTACCATTTTCTGACAGAAACTTTAGAATACTGAGGAAGTACTTAAAATTTATGAATCTTTATCTGTATTACTCAATACTAGTGAACCAAAAATGATGGTGCAAATTGGATTTTGAAGTGTGGATAACAGTATTTTGTACCACTAAATATCTGAAATTGTCACTCATCCAGAATGAAGGATACGGATCAGCTTAGAAAAGGGTAAAAGTAACGTCAAGATAAAATATCTTGAAGAATTCTTTGTATACTAACAAATCCCCAAATTTTCTTTGGAAACAAAGATCTGAAACTCATTCATATAAAGCAGAAACTTCCCCAAAAAAACATTCTACAAAGGAAGGATGTGAAATCCTTAGCACAGAATAGCAGTTGTGTATTGAAGTTATCCTCACCCACAGAGACCAGGTTTCTGTAGTTCTCTAACATCACATCCCTATATAAATTCCACTGAGCAGCGTTCAGGCATGCCCACTCTTCTGGAGAAAATTCTATGGTCACATCCCCGAATGTCAGTCCCTGAAAGAAAAATACATATTCACAAAGCGGCCATGGAAAGAATTCTTAATTTAAATATAGATGAAAGGAGAGATGTAAGAATACTGTTTCTTATTCATAGGAGTGGAATTATTCAAAAAGTTGACTGTTAACGTAGAAATGTTCTCTAATGTATTCTCTAACCTTGAAGAAATAGGATGACATAAGATCTACAAATTCAATGTAGATACTGTAATTTTCTGGATGATACAGTATAAAATTCAGGGAACCAACACTAGCATATGCATTTCTGAGTGTTACGTTGACATCATAGAGGATAAGTTGTACATATATTTCAGATGGAACATTCATGCTAAGTTAAAAGGTACCTCTCTAACATTAATACATTTACTGCCACCTTAGAAAAATTTCTTTTCCTTGGGGCCACTATGTTTTATTACAAAAATAGAACAAAAACTTTGAAAACAAAATGATCCTTTCTAATTTGGTGGAAAATGTGTTATTTTTTATTTTCTATGCATGAGTTTTATACAACTCATGTGGTGATAGAATCAATTTTCACACTGCACACCACATGATTTGTATGACTCACAACATACTTATTGAATTTGTTTCTGAGAACTGAATCTCTTATAATTGCACAAGTATTTAGTTGTGTCAAGTGCACCTTGTGCACTCCTGGCTTATGTATGACCTCTGAATCATACTCCCCAGGTAAGTGCATTGATAGTATCATGTCACAGGATACTATCATAATGATTTCCTTCAAAAAGCCCTTAGGCAAACATTCAGGGAATGTTTTGGAAGGCCAAATGCACAAATAGAAGTTACAATAGGCTCGGCGCCTGTGGCTCAACTGGCTAAGGCGCCAGCCATGTACACCTAAGGTGGCGGGTTC